GAACTAGACTCAGTCTGCATCCCTTGCCACCCCCGCACACATGCACAGCAAGCACACCCTCCTGCCCAGGCAGGACCTGGAGCCACAGGCTGAAATCACCCTTGGCCCTGCGCCCGGCTGCTCCCCAGGCTCAGCCCAGGTTCTGCACATTCGTCTTTAGGGGTTAAAAATAGCACAGGCAGCTAGCTGAGCTCGGTTAATAGAATATCCAGGTTAATTTTAGCATCAAAAAGCTCAAGAGAATATAAAAGCCCTGATGCCAAGAACCACATGTGGCCAGTATGGCCGCTTCTTCCACCATCCAGGGCGCGCACACACACTAACATCCCTGCTCTCACTGTCCTGAATTCACAAAATGTTTTCTCTAGCCGAGAAAACAATTCCTTCTTAACCCCGTGAAGGCACTAATACTGCCAATAACTATTTTAACTTATTGAGCAGTACCCCCACCTCATCTGATCCTTACAGGACACGGTGATGGTCATAATACTGCTCCCCATGAAGGACATCAGGTTAAATGCCACACTTTTAGCAGAGCGGACTTAGACTCCTGAGGTCCAATCTGTTCACCATGCCCCCTCCTCGCTGGCTGAATGGCCAAGGGAGGTGCAGACTAGGGACCCTGGCCAGGGTTCCCTGTTTTCCTCTCACTCCACGCCCTGCCCGAGGGACTTCCTACCCCGGTGGGGTTGTGCCTGTGACCAGGTAGAGGGAGGGCCGAGGCTAGGGCGGGCCCACACACAGAGCCGCGTTTTGCTGAATGGGAGGGACTGTCAGGTCCAATGTGCTTATGCTGGCCCCGGACTGCCATCGCCCTTCTTGGTGGACAAGCTCTAGTCTTTCACAGAAGGGACGGGAAAGCTTGCATGGGGCCCACTGCACACAAGAGAAGCGGTTGCAGGAAGGGAGAGACAGAGTCAGGGGAAGACCTGAAGCTCAAGGAACCAGGCGGAGCTTGGCCTCACAGAGGACACACATAACAGACCCAAACTGTACCCTCAGATGGAGAGCAAGGGTGCTCTGATATTTAACCTGATTTCCTTGCACTCTGAACTGCAAGGCTAGGCTTTTTTTTTTTTTTTTTTGGCTTGAGAGAACACCTTTGTATGTTGCTCTTAATTGAACGCATTCATCAAGATAAGATGACACTGAAAAGTGAATAGCAAATACCATGGCAAAAGAAAACATCACCGGGAAGCGAAGCTATCTCGCAATGCCCAAAGGAGTGCTGGGTCCCAAACAGCACCGCCCAGCAGAAGTGCTGCCATGGTGGGTTCCTCCCCGTCAGCACCCACAAATCTCCAAGCAGCTTGCCTCCCAGGGCTGAAGTCCTGACTCATTGAAAGTCAGAAGAACACACTTCCTCAAACTGCCGTCTCGTAGGCAGCACATTCAGTTTACACTACATGAGACACTGGCGTAAAAACAGGTAGTAACTGCTACCAAAGACAGACAATGTTTGAGATGGTTAAGTATCCTGAAGAGCTATTAGAAATGACACTGCAGTCCTGGCTGGTCTGGCGCAGTGGATTGAGTGCCAGCCTGTGAACCAAAGGGTTGGTGGTTCGATTCCCAGTCAGGGCACATGCCTGGGTTGCAGGCTGGGTGCCCAGTTGGGGGCGTGCGGGAAGCAACCACACATTTTTGTTTTTCTCCCTCTCTTTCTCTCTCCCCTCCCTGCTCTCTAAAGATAAATAAGCAAAATATTTTTTTAAAAAACACTGCAAGACTTAAGTGGGGAAGAAAAACATGTTCTTCAAGAGCAGGATTCAAAAATTACAATAAAAAATACCTCACTTCTATTTGGTACCTTCTTATATATTATCTCATTTGTAAAAGATGGAATGAAAAAGAAAGGGGAAGAGTTAAAAAAGAGATTTTCCCCCAAGTTTAGCCTCTCAATGAAACCAAGTACCATGAAACTTTTCAAAACTTACCAAAACATTTAAGCTCTAGAAGCCAAGGCTCCTATACCTAAAAAACTTCATCTCCTCCAAAGTGTTTTGCCCTTTTTCTTAGCAACAGCAGTAATATTTCGTAGTGGCATAACTTCAGGGAGAATCTTTCTTTTTGTCTTTTTCTGGGAGTGAGGGAGGTGGGCGTTAACGTAACCCCCAACAACAGTGTCTTATAAGCTCCCACCAGATGCAGGAAACAATAAGAGCCTGCAATTTGCAGATGGAAAAATGAGGCTCTGAAAGGGGAGGATACTCGCCCTGGGTCATCTAGCAGGCCAACAGCAGACACGGGGCATGTGGCCAGCTAGCCTGGAGACAAGGCTCAGAGATGAATGGACCGCTCAGCCAGTGTCTCCCCAAAGGAGAGGCAAGCATGCATGTGACCTCGCATGCAGTGCCTCATGCACATCTGCTCCTCCTCCAAACCCACTACAGTGCCCCTCATCATCACGCCTTCAAGATCAGGGCATTCAGGCAAGTCAGAGCCAAGACCCGCCACACACAGAGGACTAGGATAAGAAATGAGCACACCACCTCCCGCCGGGTCATCATCAGCCTGTTCTACTAACAGGCTTTCCCCCAGGTGAAACAACACTACACCCAAAGCGGCCCACTCACAGGTCACCTTCAGGGTCTCCGGCCCAGCCCAGGCTCTAACTCAGCAGCACAGCCTTGTCCACTTCTGTGCTCAGAAGCAGGAGGAGGCCCTGCCTGTTCCATGCAGGGGGCCGTGGCTCCCTGCATGCCCATAGCCACAAAGGCAAGACACGGAGGTCGCACCCCTGTAGCCCAGCATTGTAGGCAAAGTCCCTCCTCGGAAGAGAGAGACAATGGGCTTCTCAGAGCTGGAACTGCGTTCACGGAGTTGGAGAGCTGGTGCGCGGGCATTTCTGCCTCCCTGCTACCGCTCCCAGACACAGGGGGCGGGGAGTGGGGGAGGCCCCGAGGGCTCTAACAATACCCAGTCCCCACATGGGGTTAGAGACGGCAGATGTTCCCGTCACTGCACTAATCCTCAGCTGAGCCGGGTGCTTCTATCGCCTGTTTAAAGTGCAGCACACAAGAGACCGCCTAACCAAGCAGTGTCTTCTGACCCCCTTCTTCCACACCAGGCCCCTCTGTGTTGGGGTCCAGGACCCTCACAGAAGCGTGCACACAATGCCCAGTAGGGCTGCTTCCCCAGGACCTTTGGGTGCCTCCTGGCCCTCCTGCTTCACGCACTGTGCCACCCTGGAAATAAATCAATGCTCTCTGCTCAACAAACCAACACTCTGGAAACCTGCTGCTCAGAGTCGGAGTCTGGCTGGCTGTGCTGTCCCCAGACCCATCCCTGTCTGCTGCACCCAGAACCCTGGCACATTCCCCCACGCCCCCACTCCAATGCCCCCACCATCTCCTCTTGGTTAAGGAAGAACCTCAAATCTTCCTGGGGGGGCCCAGACCCAACTCACTGGAGCCAGGCATTGAGTGAGGGCTCTTGCCTGAGGGAACCCTAAAAGAGGCACTTCCCCTGCCCCCACTTCAGGTGGAGTTCAACACTGACTCTCTCGGTGTGAGATTGCAGCAGACATCACCCAAGTAAACACAAGAAGCCCTCTCCGGGCTGACTCCTCGAGGCCGAAGTGCTGCCACATCCTATCTGCAGTGCTTCTGAGCCAAGTATCAACAGCGTCTCAGCAATGATCCATAAACCAAAATAAAGCAGACAGGAAACAACATGCTGATTTAGGGTAGCTGGAATTCCTCCGGCAGCATCAAATGTCACCAACAACTGACACTTCAGCAGTCACTGGGTGCCTGGCTCTGTTCCCCGTGGCGCCTTTTCACAAGGGAATACATGGGAATATGGAGTACTACCAGGGACAGGGGTTTCAGCAGGCAAGAAGGACCCTGAGGAGGAAGGCACTCTGGGGCCTCAGAAGCCCTCTCCAACATGAACTGTCCTCTCGCCCGGCACATTTATGGCATTAAGGGATCGATAATTCCGGGCACCGATCTTGTTTTGAGGGGGAAAAAACTTGCACATCACCCTCCCAAGATAAAACACAACTGGCAAAAAGCAAATCTCTCCAGATAAACCCAGGAAGTCCAGATATAGCCCTCCAGCCCACTCCAGAATCTGCATTTCATTTCCCTCCCCCAGCTCTTGAGTCCGGTGAGAAAGGCAGAATCCTCTCCGGTGACAGGGCCTGCCTGAATGGAGAGCCCTGCTGGCCAAAACCTCCCTCGCCAGTTCTCAATGGAAGGTGGGGGAGGGGTGGCTCCACTGTTGCCCTGCCCTGAGGGAGCGCTGGGCCAGAATGAGCTCCACTCGTTCATACCTACACACAAAAACATTCGCCTACACAGATTTGTGCACACAGAGACACATGCACACACAAACACATACATGCACATCTACCCACACCGCCGTGTGCACACACAGGCAACCAGTCCACAGCCGGACCCAGCCCCATCCCCCTGGGGGAACATGTGGAAGAGCTTACACGTTCGAAGAAAAAGAAGTTTCTGGGTGCAGCAGCTGAGGAGAGATGTCAAACCCTGAGATAGGTGGGTTTGGCACCTGAAATACAAGCATCCAGAGTCCCCACATACGCGCACACTCATGCACACACTCCCAGCGGGGACAGGACCCAGGTCCTGCGACGCACCACACCCCCCGTAAAGAAGACCCCACCTCCGACAATGCACCTCCAGGGACTTGGGGTCGCTTTCGGCCCAGAGGAGCTGCGGGGAGCTGAGTCTCCCAAAACCTCCGGGCCCGGCTCTGCCCAGTCACCGAGATCTGGGAGAGGTGGGGAGGGGCCGTGGTTGGCGGACCGGCCGGTCCTTGAGGAGGTGGAGGGGGCGCAGCCAACTGACCGGCATTCTCCAGAAGGTGGGGGGGGGGGGGCGCAACCAGCGGACCAGCAGTCCCCAGGAGGTGAGGGAGGGACCTCAACTGGAGAGTGCTCATCTCCAGGAGCTGATCCGGGACCTGGAGGCGCCCCCCCGCTAGACCCGCGAAGACCCCGCTACCCACTCCGGCTCCTGGGCACCCACCGATCTTGATCTTCACGCTCTGGAAGACCCGGAGCCCCTCTTCCTCCACCGCCATGCTGGTCGGAATTCGCGCGCTGAGCCCAGCAGAGTAGCCCGAGCCAGAGCGGCCGTGCAGTCCCGGCGCTCTGCGCCCTACCCGGCGGCCGCCAGGTCTGGGGTGCCCCCGCCTCCTCGGCTCCACCCTCGTGGCCGCCCATTGGTCCTGCTTAGCTTCCCATTGGTGGAAGGCCAGCAGAGGGGCTGAGCAGGACGGTTTCGCCCACAGTGCGACCCCAACTGCCTATTGGCCATAGGCCGAGTCCTGGAGAGGGGCAGGGTCAGTCTCAGAGGTGGGGTAGGAAAGGACAGAGAAGGGGGCGACCACGGCTAGGAGTGCGGGACCTGAAGGGTATACGGGGATGGGGGCAGCGAGGCGGGGCGGCAAGAGGGGTCGGGGGTGGTGAGGCACACAGAGGGGACTGGGTGAGGGGGGAACTTGGTGGTTCACGAGGAGGGGTCGGGGGAAACCAGAGGGGGGCCCTCCAGGTGGATGGGGAGAGGTGGTGCGCTGTGCTGGGAGGACCGGGCTGGGGTGGGGCAGGAACTGGGCCAAGTGCACTCTGTCAGCTCTCACCCCAGGCGTCTGCAGGGTCCCTTCCTCACTTCCTTTACTGGTCTGTCTCAAGGTCCCGTCCTGACTTTCTCTCCACTTCCCTCCTCCCCATTATCGTCATAGGGCCCTGCATTACACACACACACACACACACACACACACACACACACACACACACACACACTGCATACACAAAAATACAAGCATAATGAAGATAGGGGTCTTTTTTTTTCTCTACTATATTCTCACTTCCTGTAAAAATAAAAACAAAATGCTTAAGTATGTGTTGAAAAATGAAGAACCATTCTTGACCCTACTTGAGCTTCTTTGCAGGTCCTCAATCATCTCCTTGAGTTCGGCCTCTCAAGGCCTTCTTTGTGGTGTTTACTGGTGGTTTAACGGAGGTTAGGAAAGCCAGCTTCTTGGTTCAAACCTCAGCGTTGCTACCTGTAACTCTGGGACCTTGGGAAATTTCTGTAGTGTGTGCTGTGGTGTGCCGTCCAGACTTTCCTCCTTAAGATCAAGGCTTTGCCTCCACCAGGATAACTGCTTAGCACCCCACCCCCCCCCCCCCCCCCCCCCCCCCCCCCCGCTCCTGAGTCTCTCAGAGGATTGGCTGAGGCCTGTGTAGCAACTGCATTGTGGTCAAGCTACTTCCCTGCACCATCCTTCTTCCCTCACATGGTCCTGGGACTTTTTTTTTTTTTTTTTTGAGAACACTCCTGATAAAGTCCTGCTTCAGAGTCTGCTTCCAGAGGAACCCAGCATAAGACTGTTGGAGCCAGGAGTGTCTAGAGGCAGCCCCATGGTGGGGGTTGAGAGCCAGATGCCCACTGGCACAGGGCTGAAGGCGCGACAGCCTGCCATGCTATAGCAGTGGCGACTGGAACAGAAGCCTGTGGCAGGTGCAGTGTCGCAGGCACTAGAGAGTTTGGGGAGGTGGCGATTATTTGGACTACGGAATCAAGTTGCTCTTGCTGAGAGCAAAGCAATGAAAAAAATCATCCATTTAAAGTGTAGCAAAAAAGAGGGCTTTTTTGGTACCATGTAAAGACACCGTCATCTCCTACAACCAAAAACCAAGAACGCTGTGGGTCAGAGCCAGGACTTAGTCATGTAGATAGCAGCGCTCAGGGAAAAATTGAAAGCTCAGCCCAAGGAAGGTTGCTGTGCCAGAGTCAGGACACTGGTTGGGAAAACGGGAGACCCTGGAATTTGGGGGGAGAACCTCTGGATTAATGCACTCAAAAACCACGAATTCCAGATTTCCCTGAATCTTCTGAACCTGATGAGGTGTCCTGTTTCTCCCTGTTAAAGGCAAGTGCTCTGTGTGCTCAGAGGTGATGCAGAGACTTCTTGCAGGACAATGCATACATCCCGATGGTCTGCCTCCAGCGCACTTCTCCACAGCACTTGCACAAGCAGGGAAGGTCCTGTCTGCAAAGGAGCTTCAGGATCTGGGAAACCTGTGCCAGAGGGAGCTGGGAGAGTTAATTGCAGAACCAGATCCAGAGAATGTTGGATTCAGGGGAGGCATAACATAAAGCTATGGTCAGATCAGAGTTTACTGACATGGGATTGTTCAGCCATGATACAGAGTTTGGCACTCTGACAAGTACCAGGTGCCACTGGGATGGATTTTGGAAGTGTGTACAAATTGATGCCCCACACCAAATGAAGTGGAAATGCCAAATGGGCATGGCAGACAGCAGGGGAAGGCATCCAAATGCTCTGAGATGAACACGGGATAGTAAACATACTCGTAAAATCAGGAAACCTGTCATTGACAGGACACCATTTACAGAAGCGATGAGGAGTGTGCTGGTGCGGGCCTCAGCAGTGGTCAGCCACTGTGGGGCTGGGCTGGGGGAGAGGTGCTGTTACAGGGAACGTGGGGCTCCCTGAGAGCAATGAGGGTGATCCGATAATGACATAATAGAAGCCAGGCAGTGACATGTAACCATCAGAAGCGAGGCAGATGCAGTTATTGTAGTGAGCGGCAAGACTGGAGTGGCAGCCTGGGCACCCTAAACTGCAAAGAAGTGTAGCGATGGTCAACCAAATACAGCCTCAGGTAGCCAGCCAGCAAGAATATTGCTTAATTTGTACAATCAAATGAAATCCATGATAGATATCAGGAGGCTGAAGAAAGTTGCCCCAATAAAATGTCGCAATCCCTTGCCCAGTTTCCCAACACCAGCCAGTTCTCATCCTCAGAAGCCACGGACTGGAGGAAAGGGCCTGGCTACAAATACGTATGGTGAGGATTCCCCCAAAGGGGCCTGTAGCCATTTACTCAGATGGGAGCTGGAAACACCTCGATATTTTGAGGGCTGTTGGGTTTTCTTTGAGTCAACATTGGTAGCCAGAGACCTGAAGAGTCCTCATGCCCCCATAACATTGGGATTTGTAACGTCCAGAAAAATAAATGAAGTCCTGGCCCAGGCATGGCTCACAGCAGGATCACTGGACCGGCCGAGGGATCATTTCCCCTGGGACTTAAGGTAAAGCCGGTATGGCCCTATGTGGCACTTGTCAGAACACCCACATCGGCTTCCTGGTATGTGGGTGAAGAGTCATCCCAGCAGGAAAGGCCAAGTGGGAAGCCAAGGATGAAAATCAGAAACAACAGCACATTCTGGGACAAAGACAGAGATCAAGACTGCCTTTAAAGCCTAATTGGCCCTGGACGCTGTGCCTCCGTGGATTGAGCACCAGCCTGCAAACCAAAGGGTCACCAGTTCCATTCCCAGTCAGGGAACAGGCCTGGGTTGCAGGCCAGATCCCCAGTGGGGAAGCTCATGAGAGGCAGCCACATATTGATGTTTCTCTCCTTCTCTTTCTCTCTCCCTTCCCCTCTAAAAATAAATAAATAAAATCTTAAAATAAAAAGGCCTAAAAGGTCCTTTCATTCACCAGTCCTGCCTCTGATACCAGTTAGGTCCTGGAGGACGACAGTGGACTAGGAGCTCAACCACACAGTGGCCCCCACCGCAATTGTATGCCAGCTGTGGTGCCCCTACCGGGCCACATCAGCACAACATCTGGTCCTTGGTGTGTGGCCATGCAGCTGACAAGTGCACTCTTCTCCATCCCAGAAAAGAAGGAGAACCAGAACAGTTTCTAGTACATGGCATAGACGTTAGCACACACGGCCTTGCTCCACTAGGAGACCTGGACCATCCAGGCGGTCTGCAGAACATCGGTTTGCTTCTCTACACTGATGACATTTTAATTAGCTAGATAAGCCAGAAGTTGGCAGTTCATCAGAAGCTTTGATAAGACATGTGTGCCATCACGCACATGTGCTCAGAAGTTAGGAAATAAATTTACTAAATAAAAAAGATTCAGGAATTCCCCACATCAGTGGGGCAAGATGTTCTTGACGATGGGCTTCTCTTTTTTTCCAAAGAAGCAGGGAGACCTGCCAATCTTACAAAAAACAGTGCATATAATTTTGATTCATTCATACTAGACAGCTATTGTTGTCACTTTTTTAATCTGACAATCTAGGGGAAAAGAGCTCCGTGCCCCTGACTAAATAGCAACAGATCTGTATGTTTTAAAAACCCTTGCAGCCCGCCCGTGTGCCACAACACACCAGTTGAAAATCACTGCCTTAGAAGTGTGATAATAAGAGATTGGAAAATACTGAGGGATTAAAGGAGAGGGTGAAAATTTCATAGAAAGCACCTATAATCTCTTTTGTTTATAACTTGGTTACATTTTTTCTTTGATGGAATCCCATTCTGTACCCCCAAAACTATTTCTTGAGGAGTGTCAGTCTATCAACAAGAGGATATTTCTTTATTGCTAAGACAGCATCATTGATCATTTATTATAAATATCAGAGCAATCTACTTTCAAAGGATTTGAGTAACATAAAATAAATGGCCAGTAGGAAATAATAATTTTTAAAGATATTATTAACCCCCCAAAATAGTATCATATGAAGAAATTTTTTTATTTTATTTAATTATTTTTCAAGTACAGTTTTTTGTCTATTTCTCCCATCCCAGCCCCCCCCGCCCCCAGTCCTCATCCCTGTGTCCTTCATACTTGTTCCTCAAAATCCTTCCCCTTTTTCTCCCTTAAATTCCCTTCCCTCTCCCCTCTGGTCACTGTCCCCTCGTTCTCTATTTCAGCATCTTTGTTTTTATTCTAATTGCTTGTTTGTTTTGTTGTTTAGCCTCCTGTTAAAGGTGAGATCATATAGTATTTGTCTTTCAACACCTGGCCTATTTCACTCAGCATAATGCTCTCCAGTTGCATCCATGTTGTTGCAAAGGGCAGTAGCTCCTTCTTTCTTTCTGCAGCATAGAATTCCACTGTGTATATGTACCACAATTTTTTGATCTATTCATTTACTGACGGGCACCTAGGTTGCTTCCAGCTCTTGGCTATTGTAAATTGTGCTGCTATGAACATTGTGGTGCATAGGTTCTTTGAAATTGATGTTTTAGGATTCTTAGGATATAATCCTAGCAGTGGAATTGCTGGGTCAAAAGGCAGGTCAATTTTTATTTTTCTGAGAAAATTCCATACTGTTTTCCATGATGGTTGTACCCG